AGTGTTTAAGAAATTCTAATAGTATTAAATAAATATACTGACATGTTTGTATTTAAGTTGGTACAAGATTCCATAATAACCAACCAATGTATACCAACCACAACTTGAAATATAAATTATTATATAGGAATTGGTATGCCTGATAAATATGTGTATCTCATATCACGCATAGTGTTGGTGCAGCTTTATAAATAAACAAGAACTTATTTCGGCTACTACACCCAACTAATTGCCATATTAATGATATTTATGTAAACGAATCCTTTTGATTGTTTTTTTTTAATCTATGATGATGCATTATGTAATTTGTATTATTCTTGATTGTGGTATTTTCGTTACACTTTGTTTAAGGAGTGGTCGTCACGCCAAGCAACCGTCGTTTCAATGTGACGGTAGTGTCAAGCGGGCCCACCTCCGGGGAGGGCACCGCACCACCCCAATCCCCAGCCCCACGACACCGTGGAGGTGAGCACTTTGCCACCATCCCCGAAGATCATGCCTTAGACGAAACCAACACTCCGCCCTTGCAATACTTAAGCACACACAGCAGCAGAGCCAACACACCCGAACCCAGCTGGGACTTTAGCATCGAAGAAGCGAACAACAGTGATTCTGTAAGTGACAATTTTCTCTAGCTTATACTTTTGATATATCATTTCCCTATTTCTGCCACTTGTTGGTGCAACTACACAAAGAAATGTTTGTTTTTTTATTCTCATCCCTTTGTATCGGATTTTACTGACACAGGTGGTGACGATAGACATTATTCAACTTACATAATTCATAACTTAAAATAAACGTAGCTTAGACATCTCGTGATAAAATCTTCAACTAAAAGACTTAATCTATTGATCGTTGTCATGCTAAACTGTCATTGACGTAATGGTGCATCCACATTATGTGCAGACCAGGGGTCGGCGAACCGGTGTAAATTACTCCAAACGGGGGTATAAGTGAATTCTAGGGGTTAATGCAATTCAAAAAAATCTATGTATCAATGAAAAATATTGAGATTCGCTATACAACATCCATCCCCTTTTCGTCATAATCAAGGGGTAATCAAGACGTAAACTAATATATTTTGGGACAAAAGATAAAAAAAAAGTTCACCGACCTCTGGTGCAGACGTATAAGAGATGTGTATATAATTAAAACAAAAAATACTGTCACTTATAATATAATATATGGAGACATATATTATTTAAGTTGGTACATATACTGGAAGTTCTGAAATCATTGAATTTGTTGAAATGAAAATAAGTAAATCCTTTAGAAAGGCTTTTAAGTAGGAGATTTATGATAAATATTAGACTAGTAAGATTCAAAATATTTCATTTTATACGATTTTCGGTAAAGAAAAGATACTTTGAAAGCGGAAACCTTTTATAGAATCAATAATAATGTATCAAAGCATAGTAAACATCCTCGGGCTATTTTTATGAATATTACCAAATAATCTCTAAATGCCAACTGCAGTCTTATGCCTCTTTTCGTTGCTTTTTATAGTATCTGTATTATATTTTATTTATACTATAATCATATTTAACTCAAAATTAAAACTAGTATTTAAGTGCTCTTATTTATTGATTTACCGATTATCTTTAGTATAATTTACAAATAATTATCATAACTTAGTATGTAATTAGTATTACAATTTATATTTAAATAATATATAAATTTAGTTACCGTATGAATGAATTAAAGTGAACTTTATGAAATTGATGTAAAATTATCAATATATTTTAAAGTGTTACTTATACATTTATGTTATAAGTACGCACTTATATATAAAAACTGCTTTTTATAAAAAGTAGCCAGTTGTTTAAGACTAATTGAGAATCATATATTTTATAATGATTCATACAATTTTTAAAACCAATAATATATATGTTTATTCATATTTGTAGAGTGGTCTAAAAACGTATATTAATTTATAAAAGGTTAATAATAATCTCAATACATACGGAATCACCATATTCCGTTTTTTAGATCCACCATAGCAACTAGTATTTTTGATACTAAATGAAAAATTGATAATTGTTGTTGTCATGCCAATTAAGTGTGTGACTATATTTGTTATGACTTTTATGAAAATTATAAAAAAAATACTTTTCTATTATTACATATAAACATTTATTAAATTTATCCATCATGCAAAACATACGCAAAGATAAATGCATTTTAGACTGCCAGATCTTCACGAAATAAATAAATTACATTCAGTATTTCCTTCGAAACGTCGTCAACGAAACGCGATGTGCAATACAAATGAATAATGCATCGCACGATCCGGAAGTGACGTATCAATCGCATTTGCGCACGAACGGTGCAAGATGCAAAAATATTTTATTAAATTTCGCATGGTGGTGAAATGTAGGGCATATGCACGTATAGAACGGTATTCGGCGCAGCCTCTAAATTTAAACCTATTCCAATTATTTAATCGCAAGTACAGAAATGTACTTGCAATATAACTAAAATAAAATCGCGACACTTTTTTTGAGTATACTCATTTTGTTGCAATTAGTTAATTTGGAGTTTTGCGGGTAGAATGCAGCCAAAACAATAAGGAAAATGAATGAAAAATCTTTTTTTCTTTCACATTTTTGTAACGCTGCTAAATTGAGTGCTCGTTTCAATAGGGAACTTGAATTGTGTTTTGGTAGAATGGCGTTGACGTTTATTCTTCAAACATTCATCGCCAATTATCGCACTTCAATTTCTCGCTCAATTCATATACGTATATTGAATCAATATATCTAATATATTATTTAAACGATTTATTAATTAAGTAAATAATTAATTAAATTGTATTGAAAAATATTATCTGTCTGACTAATTAGTTTTGCATTAATGCAAATATATGTAATCATTTTTTACTTTTATAAAACTGTAGGTACAAAGATATAATGAAAAGTAACAATATAACTCAATAATTGATTTTAAACTAATTATCTTAATATGTTAAGCTAATTAACTTAAGCAGTTAATTATTTTATTAAATATTTTATGTTGGCAGGTTATGTATATAAATTTAAAAAAAATATAAATACGTTTTCATGCACGACTCTTGCAATAAATATTATTATTTTAATTATCATATGAATTATAATTGCAAATAAGGAATAAGTATTATTTATTAGTTTATTTCTAACAAAAATATTTGATAAATATACAGAAAAATATTGTAATGGGAAATATGTGCAATGTTAAAACATATTAATGTTTATATAAATGCAAGAAACTCAAAGTTATGGTATTATTATCAAGATTGAAACTCAATAAATTTTCATACTTTTGACTATATTTTTTCGTATATTTTAAATGAACGACATTTGCTTGAAAACAACTGTAGGTGATGATTATAATCATTTTATTATCTTTATTTTATTTTAAAACAATCTTAGTATAAACATATTTATTTCTTGTAATGTGAGAAGATGTTAAATAATATTATTGATAGATGTGTTATGTTGGTAGAAATTAGCAGTCAAAAATAATGAAATAATATATAAAATCATTTAAATACATATTGTTAGGGTGAAAAGACTTCTTATTTAATTATTACTTATAAAAAATATAAATATTTTACATCGATACGTCGATAATTTAAAAATGAATATCTTAGATTACTATATAGGCATGTAGTCAATAATCTTTGTTGGTTGCATATATGCAAATAATTATGTTTATTATTATTTACATATTGATCATTCATTATAATGATTTATTATTTAAAAAAGTAATTAAGTAAAATTAAGTAATTATTTTTTGTTAATAAATTAGAAAATACAAAATTAAGAATTGCATGATTAAAGTGAATAAAATAACAAAGTTAAATAATATAAGACGGTGAGAAATGTTATGTTTTATTAAACGTGAGATGAAAATATATAAATACTATACATTACAATAAATTCAGGTCAACAATGATGAATATAAAGATATGACTTTGAAGCTATACTTATTTGATGTGAATAGTGGTAGAATTAATATAGTATTTAACTTATTTTTTCTATAACATTAAGTTTTTTCAATATTTGTGACTGAGCTTTTGGCTCAATATAAGTAATAATCTTCTAAGTAAATTGTATCAGTTAATAGAAGTTGTATAACTGTATTGTATTTTTGTTAGTTTCACTTAGCTGACGGAGATGAAATAGGTTGTTTCTTAGGTTAGTAACAAACAGTTGTGGGAAGAAAATAACATATATAATTTTATATATACAAAATTATTACAAAGTATATAAAAAAACTGATGATAGACGGGACGGTATGTTTTTCTATATATACCCATTTTTCGGGGGGTCATTTAAATTTTTTAATGCACCAAAAGGAGAAACACTGATATAAATCACTCGTAACTGCAGTTTGGTGTCGTTAGGGCTCAGCCCAGTTCGAGGTGCAGTTTACCAATAAAATGATATTAATAAAGAACATAAATTATCATATATTGCGATCATTTTTATTAGACTTATAAATCAATATAGACTTTGTTGAAGTAGATACAATATTGAATGACATTTTTTTATGTCTTTTATTTTTATTTAAATCTATCATTAAAAGAACATTAATTAAATTCGTTATTGTAAATATTAAATGGAATTTCGTAAAGATATAAAATATAAAAAGAAATTAATATAAACTTATAAATATATTAATATAAATTCAGGTCATCAAGCAGATGATGATAGTATTTTGTGGTTGCTAATGTTTTCTTTCAAATTCATGTAGGTCAATTGAGTTTCATGACTAATCGATAGGTTATACAAATTGAAATGTGATAGGAATGAGGAGGAAGAACAAAGTTGAATAACATTGTTGTTATATAGTGATTGAACGTGTGGTACGGATTGTCGTATTGCGTTCAAGCTGCGAGGTTGAGGTGCGTTATGTTGGTAATGATCAGCTGACGCGGTCGCTGTAGTCTGTCGGAGGGAGAGCGCGCCGCGCCGCTCTGCGCGTGATTCCCCAACTATGTGTACACACACACTCGCTCTCCGGCTTTGTCTTTTGGGTTAGCCGTGGACAAGACGTCCATGCATTACATGGATACGATCAGTCGCCGGTTTGCGTTATAAACAAACGGTGCTGTGAAGTTGCCGTCGTCCTTCGTTCCGTCAATACGTCATCCGTAACAACGAAAGAAGAGGACGAAACAGGAGGACAGGACCTTTACACCACAATCGGTTGGTCATAGTGCGATTTTTGTTGTGCCTGTAGTGCAGTTTCGCAAACACACGGAAACACTAAGTTTTTCTTCTTCTTGCTGTTGTTGTTTTTTTTTTTTGTTACTGCTGCCCTATCCATTAATTTCATTAAGTAATGCAAAGTGCGTGATCGAAACAAGTTCGTTAATTGGAGTGCTCGATTTATTGTTTTTCATTTGGTTTATACATTGTTTTATATATTTTTTTTTTGGTATCAAGTATATATTTTTATATATATATTTTTTTTTTTGAAGTGCTTTGTTTTGGTGCGATTAGGATGTTTACCGCATAGCAAGAAGTGGGATTACTAAATGTCAACTGTTACACCGTTATATGCCTTGTCCGTTGCTAACAGATCCAGGTTTGTATTGTTTACGTTACCTCGCGACACCTCCGCCCCTTCAGGAAAACAAAACAGAAAAAAAATATAAGTAAACAAATGACTTGGTATAGATTACGTCTGGGACATTTAATTTCTGACGGGTTACCTAACCTATTTATTTTGGAGCAGCGCAATTTTTTTATTATGCAGTTCTTGGAGACATGCAGTCTGTATAAAAGTCACATAACGCTCATTTGCACAAACAGAAAAGGGGAAACAAACTAAAGCGAGAAGAACGAAGCGCTATTGTCCATCCGGCATATTTTTTAATTACCCCATTGGAAAAGTCCCAAAGTTGCTTCACATGATGATTTTTTTGGCACCTCAAAATGTGCTTGCTATCTTATCTAATGCAGCGATTAGTCCAGATTCAAGTAAACCACCAAAAATCATGAAAATAACATTTTCAACTGATCGAGACGCAGCAATTACATGAAATAGATTTTGAGTTATTTTAACAAAATTTTCCATCCGATTCCGATTGATGTTTACATAACTCAGTTACGATTTCCCATAATAATAATAATTTAGAAAAAAAACAAGTCTCATGTTGGTAATGTGTTTTTCTCTATACTCGAACTTATATGTAGTATATATTTATACATACACACACAAAAAAGTGTAGGCTGCGCTGACTATGATGTTTGTTTATGCGGTATCAAAATATCGCCCATTTTGTTGATTCTAACATTATCAAACAGCAAATAACGCGAAGCGCAAGCTGAAATGCGCCCGAGGTTGATCCTGATTGCACTCTTCTGTAGTTGATTCGGACGGTCAAGAGGTTTCGTTATCACGAGGATTGCATCCAATTCGGATCGTGGAAAGTTTTTCCATTAACCGTTTGCACGTTTTCTAGCCATTGTAGATTCGGGATGAAAGATCTTTTCTACCTGGAAAGGGCTTTCCAATTTCGAACTGTCCATACGTCCGACATCCTCGTTCCACATTTGATTTTAGTCTTTCGTGAGAAAAAAAAAATGTATGGAACTACAAGAAAATCTTCCTGTTAGGTGCATTGTTACAAACCTACACTAATAGATTTATTTTATGTTATAACTAATATAACTGATCTTATTTTGGTTGTCAATTAATATATTCTAGGTATTTAATAAAAGCAGTTTTCAGAATATAGTGTAATATCTGAATATTATTAATGAATACAATTTTGTAAATTAATTAATTTTATTAAAATGGTAACAATACATTTTGAAAGCAATACATATTTCTACTATAATTTAATATTTCATATAAAATGAATTAACTTTTTTCACATAATTCATCAAATTATAATCTAAAATTGGCAAATTTATATATTATATAATATTTGTTTTTTTTGCACAATTCTATATCTATGCAAGTAAATATCCTATACAAACTAGACAATGAAAATAGTTTACATGCAATAGTTATAAACAAAAGATAAAGTAAAAATAGGAAAATGTCGTTGTTTATAATTGTAAGTTACATAATTTTAATACATATTAATTTAAATTGTTTTGAAATTTAGTAAAGGTTTTTTATTATAAAAATAAATGAAACTTTTAAATGAATAGATTATACTTATATAAAATATCTAACTTATTTACATTTAAAATTATTTAGAACAGCTAGTTGAAAAACATACACATTTCAAATGTATTTCTTTTTTAAAATGCTTTCATTTAAGAATATGCAAGTATAGTATGCGAAGAATGCAGTTTGTTAGAAATCCTGGATGTGAAGGCGAAAACAGTTGTAAAAAAAATGCTACATAAAAGAAGAGAAATCTATGGAAAAGGTTTTGCTTAGAGTGAAAAATGAAAAAAAAAAGTGTTTGTCGAATGCCTTTGAAAAAGGTATTTGAAACAACAAAACCGTTATGTTTGAACAGAGGGTCTGGGCATATGGTCTTTATGTATATGTTTATTATTACAGTTGTTCGATTCATTGAAATGGATTACAATATAAGGTTTCGAGGTACACATTTTTAATAGTGATTGTTTTATTATGAATGTAATTGATGTCTAAATACTGAATCTCCATTAAATGATTATGAATATCAAATATGAATTATCTAACAAATATTTCCATGACAACAACAGACAAATATAGGTTAATAAAATTTACATTAATAACAATATTTAGTCCAATAATTGTACAATTACTTAAATAATTTAAAATATATATTATTGATACAAATTGACAAAAGTTTATTTTGTTATTACTTATATTTCCATACAGCTTAATTTTTACTGTTATTTCAATCAAAACTAAATGTTATTGGTAATGTTTGAAGCAAATCATGTCATAACTATTAAATTAGAGAATTAGTTACATTTAGTAATAGTTTTAAAAAAGTAAACCTGGCAATAAAATCAATTTTTACCATGTTAAATTAATTAGATATAGATTTTACGTCAATTTATACTACTTTTTATATATTTTATGTAAAGTTGGCTTGTGTTCGTGGTTTCCACAGCAACGATTTGTTTAAAAGTATAGCTTCTCCTATTGCATTCAAATCTTGATAATTTGAAGTAGTGAAAATGTAACTTAACTTAATTGTCTCTATATAGTGAAGGTTTGAGATATTACTTTCATTGTATTGGAGTAGGCAAACAATGAGTTATTGTTTCTTAATTTGGATCACGATTCTGTCAACATTGTTATAGAAAAAGTAAATTATTTGCAGTATTCAAAAAACTCGACTGGATTCTCTTATCAATGTAAAGTTGCGTGTTGCTAAGGTAGGAAATGCATACTCAGTGTCCGCAAATGAAATCAATTGATAATCGACGGCATAAACAATTTATTAATGAAATTATCCGATTGTCCGTTAACTGTGATCAATGATCACTGAAACCTACGAATAATGCTGCTGCAATTGATCACATTTATCCAGTGAAATGGTGGATGTATGAAATAATCCAAGCGTTATAAATAGATTCATTTATTGGACAATCATTTATCTGAATTTTGCTAATGAAGTGCAGCACATTTTCGATCATTTCGTTTTATTTATAGCAACAGTACTAATTAATTGCCAGGGTTATACTATTTGAAGTAATGACAATGTTTTTGTTTCTTAATGAAATTCTTCATTTTATGATCAAGTTACATTATTATTTAGTTCCATTTTAGTTGACTATAAGAACAACAATTCGTTGGATCTATGCACATTTGTAATTAAATGTAAAGTTAGAAATTATGAAATTAAAACTTTTTTTTATTAGCTTTTATTGTTCATTCACAACCTGCCATCTTGGGCTATAAGTTGAATGCTGAAATTAAAACTGAGATTATGATTTTAACAAGACCGTTGAATGTTGTAAATTTATGTTTTCAAGCGACTTTAGTTTTACGAAAAGATATTATAATTAATCATCTGAAAAAGTAGAAAACCCAAAACTAAATCTGTTGATTCTATAAAATTTATGATGTATGACAAACCTCGGAAATTTCAGTCAGCTAATTGTATTGCGGCCTTGCGCAAACACTTCATAATGTTCAAATATTTAGTAAGTGACATTTAACACTTTATATTTATGTTCAAATGTTAGTGTTGAATATTTTCCAAAAGATTTAACTCTGGTTTTCAAATAACGGATGCAAAGAAAATACAACATTCCTTTGTCCATTTACGCAATTGTTCCTTGATGCTTCCCAATTTAAGGTAGTGTAATAAATACTGAAAAAAATAAATATGTTTATAAATATTATTTGTATACTTAAAAGAAACAATTTTTGTTTTTACTCTCTTTCGTAATAGTATAAAAAAAGTACACAGTACAGGTATTTCAAGGTACAAGGAATTCTAATCTTAAGTTAAATATTATCTTGACGATAAAAAATGTTATATACGTGCGTAATATCAATGCTATTTGTAGTCGCAAGGTCCGTTAATGTAAGTTGAAGTGTATATGAACTCAGTCCCGACCCACGACATTAATTTAATGTCATAGGTGAGATCATAGAATAAGCTACGAAGTTGCTTAAAATAGTCGGATCTTAATCAATACGCTTCTCGGAACACCTACAATTATGTCACTGCTTCAAAAATACAAACACATCAAGAAATTAAAAATAAAAGAAAAGAACGTTCCGGGAAATTAGATTCGCTTAATTGGCTGTGACGTATTCCCCGGCGATATTAATACATTTTTTGTTTTGTATCTGTTAATGGGATGATATTTGTGTTGATACGGATGGGAAAATAACCGATGAAAATTGATGCGTTTCTGACGCATAGTTTCGTTGTAATACTCAATTCCTAGAATTGAATTTATGCGGAATACTTATTGTAAATTATTGTGCAGGTGCTTTAGAGCTGATTCGATTTGCGTCAAACCGTTGGATTGTTAATGAATGGTTTCTAAACAGTGATCACATGCTTCTAAATCATTAAGCGGAATGCCGCGTGCACGTTGGACTTCCATTGCGTTCATTTATTTGCATTGGATTGCATTGTTTGGATCCGCGGAGGAGCCGACTTGTCTGTCTGCGCTGTTCCACAGATGAATATCTATATTTAATAACTAACATGAGTGTGTGTGTGTCACAGAAATGATTTTTAGTCACGGTTTTGGAAGCATTTCAAATGGCATACGACACTTTCCAACTTTCGCACCTCATTACCTCCGACAATTCGCACTTAATTTTTATATATACAGTGTGTTTACGTTTAAATTAAAGCACATTCCAATCTACAATTTCAATATTAAATACCTTGATCAATAGAACTATTTCAAATTTGTTAATTGTCGTCATATATTGTCTGACATTTTCTTCTATCATTTAAATATCTTTTGAAATTCTACCAATGACATCTGTCATTACAGTCATCTATTTCGATCAATAAATTTGTCATTACTGTCACTATCATAAAATTTTGCTAATAAAATATTTCAGTATGATGTCGAAAATTGTTGCTGACATTTTTACTTGTCACTTAATACTGTCAGTATCACTCATTATGACATCTGTCAATGTCATATATT